TGTGTGTGAGTGAGACAGAGAGAGAGAGAGAGAGAGAGAGAGGGGGAGGAGAGAGTGAGAGTGAAAGAGAGAGAGCATGAGGAAAAGAGAGAGACAGAGAGGCAGAGAGAGAGACAGAGAGAGATAGAGAGACAGACAGACGGACAGACAGACAGAAACAGAGACAGAGAGACAGAGAGACAGATACATTGACGGACAGAGACAGAAGCACTCAGCTATTGCAATTATTACTTCTAAAGAGCAGTTTCATTGAACCAGGACGGTATACAGTAAGTTCCTTGCATTCAATTCAATGGAACCAACCACCTATGCAGTATATTATATAAAGTAACTTCGAACACGAAACCCCTGACCGACTACTCCGTTCCCGCCGCGGCGTATTCGATACCCACAGAAACACAGAGGCTGCTGCAATGGAGTTGGCCTGAAGTGACTCGCGCTGGTCGAGCGAGAGAGAATGCTTCCGTCTGGGTCTGGCCTCACCGCTACCCCTCCCCTCCCCTCCCCCGCCCCTCAACACTCCATAGACGCAGAACGGGCACCGGCGGCCGGCGGGAACATCAGCAGCAGCAGAAGCCAGGCAGGCATCTCTTTGAGTTGAGCGCGCCGCGCGCGACTTCCCTCCCCTCCCCTTCCCCTCCTTCTCGTCTGCTCAAGCCGCTTGCTGCTAGCTGGCGATCCGGCTGCGTGCGTGCGTGCGTGTGTGTGTGCTGCCCGCCTAGACGAGACGTCTACTCTCGCGTGCGTTAGAACACGCGCGTTGATTATTACGGCTGTGTGCGCTGATTCAGACAGTAGTCAGTCAGTCAGTCGGACGGACGGTGAGTTCGCTTTCTGCTGTGAGGAGGTTGGTAAATGAGCTAGCGAGTGAGCGAGAGAGCTCAGTCTAGATTTATACGTTAGGCTCAGAAGTTAGATTCTACACTTTACTCTTCGCTTTTGGTTCCGAACGGATTTTCAACCTGTCTGTGAATGTGTGTGTACGTACAGGAGGAGGGTTCTAGGCTTGCAGGAGCGAGACGTTGTGGTGCGTTGCGTGGTTGATGTGTTGTCTCGGCATTCCAGAGTGAGATTTATGCGTTTGGATCAGGATATTATACCCGCTGCTGGTGTTCTGTGCGTTGGTTGGGAGAAATTGTGAGATATAAATTCTAGATCTATGGGAGATCTATGGGAGATCTATGGGAGATCTATGGGAGATCTATGGGAGATCTATGGGAGATCTATGGGAGATCTAGCTGGGTTTGTTGGACTCTTTGGTTGTTGTTTTTGTCTGTTTTTTGTTGTTGTTGTTGTTGTTGTTCTTCTTCTTCTTCTTCTTCTTCTTCTTCTTCTTCTTCTTCTTCTTCTTCTTCTTCTTCTTCTTCTTCTTCTTCTTCTTCTT